AGAGCTCAGAGCCCAGAGACTCCACTGAGAGCTCAGAGCCCAGAGACTCCACTCAGAGCTCAGACACTCTGCCCCCCTACCGTCTGGGGAAAGATATCACAGTGCGTGGGCCAGCTCCACCAGACTCTGGAACAGCCTCTCCCTGCAGGCTGTCAGGCTCCTCAACACCCTGGAATCTACCTGCCCCCACCCCAATTCCAGAAACAGGGTTTCAATCCCCCCCAGCGTGTTGTGTAGATTGTATCATGCATTTGCCTTGTAATTGGCACTATCTGCACTTTGCACTATGTGCAAACCCTGCCTACAATGTGTATGTCAGGGTCCTGCCTGCATTTGCACCTGTGCGCTTGCATACAGCTGGAATAATAATAATAATAATAATTGCTTACACTTATATAGCGCTTTTTCTGGACACTCCACTCAATGCACTTTACAGGTAATGGGGATCCCCTCCACCCCCACCAGTGTGCAGCCCCACCTGGATGATGCGACGGCAGCCATAGTGCGCCAGAACACTCCCCACACAGCAGCTCTCAGTGGGGAGGAGAGCAGAGTAATGAAGCCAATTCATAGAGGGGGATTATTAGGAGGCCATGACTGATAAAGGCCGATGGGGAAATTTGGCCAGGACACTGGGGTAACACCCCTACTCTTTCTTAGAGACACCCTGGGATTGTTAATGACCACAGAGAGTCAGGACCTCGGTTTTACATCTCATCCGAAGGACGGCGCCTTCTTACAGTATAGTGTCCCCGTCACTATACTGGGGCATTAGGACCCACATGAGCCGCAGGGTGAGCGCCCCCTGCTGGCCCCACTAACACCTCTCCCAGCAGCAACCTTAGTTTTCCCCAGGAGGTCTCCCATCCAGGTACTGGCCAGGCTCCCACCTGCTGAGCTTCAGTGGGGCTGCCAGTTGTGAGTTGCAGGGTGATATGGCTGCTGGCTGTGACAAATAAATCCCACCGCCGCCACCAGTGTGCAGCCCCCACCTGGGTGACGCAACGGCAGCCGGAGTGCGCCCGTACCCTCGCCACAGCCCAGCTCCCCGCGCGTCTCCCAGGTCGGCCTGCGTCTCAGTCGTGGTCCCAGGGGGTGGGGGGGGTGGGGTGAAAAGACCCTCGTTATGACTTTATCACCACGACGGCTCTCCAGCGTGGCGGAGCAGGTGCACACTTGCGTTGAGACGCTGAGCAGTCTCCAACGGGGGGGCCACACTCTCGGAGACCCCCAGAGAGGAGGGGGTCGCCTCGGATTGCTTCCTGTGAGCGCGGAAAAGGGGGTGCGCCGCCGAAGGCGGGCTGGAAAGAGAAGCTCCGCGAGTTGAGCAGGAGGCTGATGTCAGGAGTGGTGCGGACAGCTGGGGCAGCTGGGAAGGACGGTTGAGATGCTCGTGCTGCCGTGTCGGTCTGTATGTGGGCCCCCTGCACCCCTCGCGGTCCGGCGCGGGGCCCAGGCGCTAGATTTCAAAAACCGGGCCCGGGGGGGGGGAAGGGAGGGGAGTGTGGTTGCCGCGGCAACTCCTTCCTGCCCTCCTCCTGGCTGGTGTTCTCTGGGAGACGCGGGGATGGTAGGGATGTGTGTGTGGGAGAGCAGCTGTGGACTGGGGACGTTTTCAAAGCCTGCGGCGGTTGGGGGGGGCAGCTGGACAGACACCTCTGTCTCCGCTGCAGGGGATCAGAAGAGCTCAGCCGCTGATCTCCCAGCCCCTCTGCTCCGGGCTCTGAGCACGCTGTCCTGTTGTCTGGG